AAAAAAAAAAAAAAAAAAAAAAAGACCCTTTTTATTGAGTCTGTAGAATGTCAGACACAGAGTGGCTTAGCTTAGACCACACAGGGCGGCTTGGGCAGGTCATGGCTGGGATGGTTTATCCATCAGAAGCAGGCGATTAGCCCATCTGGAAAAGTCTCTGTGCCTGACTCAGGCAAACAAATCTAATCTCAGCCAATCCACCATGCAGGAACACAGGAGGAAGCGGACACAAGGGTGACACCTTTGAGTGGAACCAGGGATTGAACTCAGACCCTTGCCCTTGCCAGGTAAGCCTTATTCCACTGAGCCATCTCCCCACCCCTGCTCCAGTCTGTGGGTTTTGTGTCTTTCCTAGAGTGCAAAAGACAGGGATTTCAGAAAGGCCAGGCAGGGAGGACTCCCCGTCCAGCTGTTTTCCAGGAACATGGGCTTCAGGTTAAGCACAACACTGCTAATCATGAAATGCAGACCTACCATCCATGCTGGACGAGTTGTGAAGAATCTATGTGATCTGCCTAGCAGGGTGCTGGGCAGACCAAGAGCTGCCAATCTAGCAAATAAGAGTACAGAACAATCCAATGTCCGATATACACAATAAATAAGGCATACAGTCAGGACCCAAGTCACGCCTTAGTGGTCGCTGGCTTCAGAACTTGGCAAACCTAGCACTCACACTGTTTTTGTTTTCTGGTGTTTTGTTTTGTTGTCTTTTGGGGAGTATCTCACTATGCAGTTCAGGCTGGCCTTGAGCTCACTTGGTAGCCAAGGCTGGTCTTGAATTTGAAATGACCCTCCTGCCTCAAGCTCCCGAGTTCTGGGATCACAGGTGTGCACCACCACCCCTGGCCCTCTTTCTGGAGGTCTTGTAGATGTCAGAACTCACCAGGTGTTCTGGATGGAATTAACTGAAAGGACTGCGGTATGATTGTACTCAGAAATTTTAACTGGCTATCCTGTGCAGTATTTTGTCCAATAATCCTGGCACACAGTTGTGCTTGAGCATATTTATTGTTATTCCTATGGTTAGGAAATTTTATTCTCAAACCAAGGGGAATAGGGCCCCCTTCCTTCAAGGCAGGGCTGGCGACATGGTGGACCTTTTCAGGGGCGGCTGCTCCGCACCTCCTGCCTGTCTGGCCCAGACTGTCTCCAACCTCTGGAGCTGGTTTTCCGTCTAGGCAGGGCCACGTCCCCAGCTGTCAGCCCAGAGTTGCGCAGGCCACTAGCAATGCAGAGCGCTGTTGAACTCCTGTTCTCACAGAATGAGATCTGAGCTTTTGTATTCTGCTTATTTCCGGTAGTGCAAGGGTAGAGCCCAGGCCCTTGAGCATGCCACCGAGCTACAACCCCTGCTCTCCTGCCTTGATTTTTAAACCCCGAATGTCACATTAAAAAAGGTCTGCATAATTTCTGGAGATTGGTGCAGTGGGGTGGAACTCTGGTGCCGGGCTTTACAGCAGATTCGGGCATCACTCCCGGTCCTTGGTGAACCCAGGTTCTTCGGGTACAACGGGATTGTTCACGCCTACTTTTCTTTCCACGAATGACACAAACCACTGTAATCTCGCAGCCTGCTTTGTTTTCTCTGTGAGACAAGGAGTCCCCTACCCCCGGTCAACCCGGGGGCCCTTTGTGAAAATGATATGAATGAATGAAGGAGTGGCGAGTCCCGCATGCGGAGGACAGGAAACCAAGGCGCGGAGATGCGAACTCCAGGAGGGCATCCGGCTGCGACACCTCACTTCCGCCTCCCGGAAGTTTCTGGGCCGCCCGCCTTTCCTCCCAGGCTGCTCCGCGCCGGCCGCGCCTCGCGATTGGCTGAGCCGCCCTGGCGGCGGCGGTTGCCCAGGTGACGGAGCGCGGACTAGGCGAGTGCCGTGTTGGCTGCCGCGCAGCAGGTAAGCGGGTTCTGCAACATGCCGGGGCCTCCATCGCCTCCGCCGATCCCACAGTCCAGGGCCGGGAGGTCCAGCCGAGGGCCGACGCCCCGCTGATCCCTTCCCCGAGGAAACCCCCTTGTGGATGCTCCCGCCGCTGCCCTGCGGTCCCGGGCTCCTGCCCCGCGAGGGCCTGAGGTGGCCGCCGCACACCCCGAGGACAAGCCCCCTGCTTCCCGCCAGTTGTCCCCGACCTCTGCTGCAGGGGGTTAAAATTGAAGGAGACTCCCTCCTCATTCCGGCGGGGTAGTGGCGCTGCGAGCTGAGGGTCTGGGGCTTTCCCATCTCTCCAGCATTTTATCAGTCGCCTCGCTCAGCAGACACCTAGGCCAAGTCTGTCTCCACAGAGTGAAGCAGAACACGAGGCTCGCTGTGCGAGTTCGTCATCCTGCCAAATCCCGTCGTCTTTACCGTATCCAGCCAGCTTCCAGGCGCTAAATCCTGCAGGCATGGAGAAGCAGCCGCGCAGCCCGAGTCTTCCGTGGCTTCCGCTGGAGTTAGAGCCCTGGTTCTCAAATTCGAGTACATGCAGAAGTCACCCAGGGAGCTTGTTGAAAAGGCAGATTTCTGGACACCTGCCCCGGTGCTCAGTACGAACAGGCTGGAGTGGGAGTTTTCACTTGCGCAGGCTTCCCGGCTGGTCCTGACTGGATTGGTCTAAATTTAAGGAAATTGGGTGCAGCGGTCAGAATCAGCGTGGATTTAAATTCTTACTTTGTGATTTAAGAGCTGTGGCTGGAACTCAGTTGCTTCATCTGTGAAAGGAGAACGTAAATGACATTTACCTCTGGGGTTTACTAGGAACAGTAAATGCAAAGCCTTTTGCGTGGTGCCTGCCAGTCCAGTAAGCCCCCAGTAAACTACAGCTGTTAGGATAAAAGGGTTAGGAGCAGCAGGGCGCTAGAACACCCGGAGGCGGCTCACATGCCCTGAGTGGGTCACTCGTATGGAAAACTTCTCTAAGTAAGGGACATTTATTAAGCATAGGGGTTGACCAGGTGAGAAAGAGGGAAGATAGTTTACAACAAAGGCATTGTGTGAGGGAAGTCCCTGAGGCTAGAAGGAGCTTCAGTTCTCAAAAACAACAAAGGATTCTTATTCAGGGACCTTCCAAAATGCCACCCCCGGGGCATAAGCTCGTGGCATAAGCGTTTCCCTGGCAAGTGCAAGAGCCTGAGTTCAATCCCTGGTTCTGCAAAAAAAAAAAAAAAAAAATTCAAAATTTCACCCCCTTGTTGAGGCTTCATTTATTTGCCAGATATGTTATCATGTATTGGGATGGGGGAGATAGCTCAGTAGAATGCTTGCCTGGCAAGCGCAGGGTCCTGAGTTCAATCCCTGGTACTGCAAAAAATAAAAATAAATAAAATGTTATCATGTACTTTCCTAAGTGCTGTGAATTCAAAAGTTAAATATAGCTCTCAGCCTCTAGGCAAATTTAAATACACTCTCAGCTTTTTGAAACACAGTTATAATGACAACCATAAAAATAGATGTAGGGCACAAGGATGCCCCCAAGGAGAAGCAGTGCCTTGATGGGACTGAGACAGGGAGGGGGTTTCTAGGAAGAAGGCCAAGTCTGGCCTGAGAATCACTGAGGCAGACTTGCCCAGGAGGCAGGACCCACCAAACCAAGACGTGGAGTCAGGAGGAAGTGCATTTTAGGGGAACAACCTGGTCTGCTGTTCGCAGGAGCTGTGGTGGTGAAAGGCAGCAGGGTATTGCTGGGGTCCAGGGAAAGGCAGCGAGCTGGGCGCCTCAGAGAGGGGCCATCTTTGTTACACAGCAACATAGAGGAGAGTGTGGCTCATGGTGTCAGGGTAGTCGGCTTTGTTAAGGGGGAGACGAGATAAACCAGGGTCCCAGTGCCCCAGCTTCCTGCTGTCTCCCAGAGGTCCTGCCTATACCTGGTGACCAAGGCTTAGGGATGTGGGCTTTGAGTGATCTTTAAGATGCCATAACCCTTAGTAAATGTAATTTTGGCCTGGGAGGTAGCGAAGTAGAATAAGCGCTTGCCTGACAGGCTCAGGGTCCTGAGTTCAATCCCCGGTACCGCAAAAAAATAAATAAATAAAAGTAAGAGTAATCTTCTTGACCTGTGTACAGATCCACACACTGGCTGAAAACAGTCACAGACTCACACTTTCCGTTATTTTTTGAGACAGGGTCTTGTGTATTTCAGGCTGGCCTTGAACTCACTGTGTGGCCCAGGCTGGCCTCCAACTCATCCTAATCCTCCTGCCTCAGCCTCCTGAGTGCCAGAATTGCGGCGAGCGCCACCATGCCTGCACAGAGTCACACTTTCTTAGAACTGCAGGGGTTCTGTCATCTTCCTTTATCCTCCAGATAAAACTGGCCCTGAATTTAGGCTGTTTGCCAGTGGTGGCACCAATAGTTCAGACTCCTCAGTCCTTGGGAGGTGGCGACAGGCCCAGGCTTTGACTCTGGGCACATGTGCTGTCCTAGTGGTGCTGTGCTAAATGCCAGAACTCTCAGATGCCTGTCCTGGGTCTTGCTGAACTGGGATCCAGGTGTCGCAGGATGAGTTCATTTCCAGACACTTGGGAAGGGTCTGCCCCCGCCTTTGCTGCCTCTGTGACCTCCTTTTTTTTTTTTCTTCTTTCTTTCTTTCTTTTTTTTTTTTTTGGTGGCACCAGAAATCAAACTCATGACTT